CTGTTTTATATCCTCTGGAGTATAAATGCATGTCATTGGACATGTTCAAGGGAAATAAGTTACCATTGCATGCATAAGATTTAACAAAAAATGACAAATAATGTTCAAAATTCTGAAAGCCATTAAAAAAAACTAAACATGAGTCACTAGGAGTTGTAATCTCCATATCTCTGTTGACATAATCTTTTTACTACTCTGAGTGTGCATCATTGCACAGAAGCAGGTCCCCGGGGAGGTATTGATTGCTGCAATACTTTATTATTGTCATTTGTGCTGATTTTGATGTGCTGTAAAAATTAAAGCAGACTGCATAAAACTGCTCTCTGTTCTTCCTGATTGTTCAAGAAACTAACAAGCCCTGTAGGTCTAATTTCAGATTAAAGTCTATTGATCTCCTCGGAATTGTTAGGATGCTTTTATTAAAATTAATTATGTAAAAATGCAGCTCTTTATTTGCTGTGCATGTTACATGTAGCTGAAAACAGAGCCTGTCTTCCTGATTAAAATTGATGAATTTTATATTTGGAGATAACTAAATGCAATTAAACTGTACAGTAAAACTTGGTTATACATTTAATGAAGTCACTGGGAACTATGAAATTACTTTGCTGTAATATCCGTAATTTGTTATATCCGTATAAGGAATTTGTGAAATTTATGCAACTGGGGAACCAAAATAACTTCACTATATCCGTGAATTCGCAATATCCGTTTTTGTACGAAATGAGTTTTACTGTATTTTGTATTTTTGTTGTAAAAGTAGTTTTTTCAGTGGCATAAGATATGTTTGAATTGGTTTTGAGAATGGCAGATTGTGCCTGCAGACTTAGTTTCTCCTACAACTAACGTCTTGAGAGAATGCCGTGACTCATCAGCTATCAAACTTTAGCTGGCTTCTTGGCTTTCTAATTTGCCTATTTGTAGCTGTTTACGACATCCTTGTTTGAAAAAAAAAAAGTATACATCAGAAATATTGACTCATTTGATAAGCTTATACTCTTCTTCAAGGTTTAAAATAATTGTAGAAATTGTGTACCAATTACATGTAGGTATTTTTTTTAAAGCTGAGGTTCTGTAAAAGAGATTAAAGTGGGCAACATGTCTTAGTTATTTCAGTTACATGTATCGCTGTATGCTTAGTCAAGAGCAGATAATTAACCTCATGATTCTATGAATATTTTCTCTGTTGCAGAGTAGACACAACTAGGGTGGAGTATATAATTCCCCTCAGAGAGAGTTTTTCTCTCCCCTTTATCTGGGTACAGATAGCAGCCACAACATACTACTTCAGACATAACTGTTCTCCAAAGAAAGAGGTAAGAAAAAACTGAGAGAGTTCTTAAAAAAAAAATGTATGTGTTTGTGAAACACGGATGCCCCTGTTAGGCAGCTTATGATAAAGGATAAAGTTTCTCAAATGCAAGTCAAACTCCGAAGTCATTGTAAAGATTAAAAAATGTTGTTTTGCGAAAAAGCCCAAGTACTAACCATTTAAAAGTAATAGCTATATTAGGTTAATTTTTTTTAAAAAGTAGGTTAAACTCCAAGGTCAAAGGGTCAAATTTAAGGGTACCTAAGGGAAGGCCTTTTCATAAGAAATGCACCTGTGGAATATTTTAAAGCCTTACCTCAGTTACAGCAAAAGTTAAAGTTTAAATGGTTGATCAAACTTTAAGGTCAAAGTCAAAAATTAATAGTTATACTCATGGGAAGGTCTTTTCACAATGAATTTACTTGTGAAGTATGCAATTTTAAGCACCAGCAGTTAAAAAGTTATTGCCAATTAAGGTTAAAGTTTGGATATTTTTTTGTAAAGGTGGGTCAAATTCCAAGGTCAAGAGGTCAAATTTTTTTAGTACATATACCCAAAGAAGGTCTTCTTACAGGGAGTGCACTTGTGTATATGAAGTATGAAAGCCATAGCTCCAATTAATCAAAATTAATGAGCAAGGCTAAATTTTTAGTGGACAAAAAGAGAGTCAGATGGATAGGACCAAAGCTATATACAATGTACCCTCAATTCCTCAATAAAAGGGTCATAAAAATTGTGTTTATAAATAGATTTGTAATGTTCTCAATATTACCTGTAATTTACTTCCAGAAGCTGTCTGTGGTGATTATCTTTCTCTCCACGCTGTGTTTCTCCCTCTGCTGGCAGTTTAACCAGTTTGTTCTGCTACTCCAGGCCTTCGCTTTATTTGGAACCTGGGTCCTAGACATGGTGCCTTCCAGAAAGGTTATTTAAATGTGATTTATGGTAGACTTTGTTATGTTTCTGAAACTGTTCATTATCTGAATGATCATGGAAACCTAGTGACAAACGATCTGCATTAAGGATTAAAATGCACAGCTGATCTTTATTAAAATTGTGAAATTCAGAGTTAGCTAGGCCCCAACAAGAGCTTTAATGTGTCATATATTGCAAATACAACATATATTGAGACAATTGGCCTTTATATAATCATAGATATTTCTTATGTAAACTGATGGACGAGCAGCTAATATAGTATCTACAAAAATTATGGTCCTTAGATACCAGGGTTGGGGGGAGGGGTTAAGATGGTCATATCTTGAAAATTTATTTTTGAAACATCTGTAAAATATGTCAGATTTTCAGCAGAGCTAATTCTGTAGATGACTAATAAGAGAAATATAGGACTGTGACCTTGTATATTTCAGACTCAGATGCTGTTTATTGCCCAGGGTTCCTCTTTACTACTCACGTGCTTCCTGCAGTTCTTCAACAAAATGATCCTAGGGTCTTTAGTCATGAGTTTTATTCCCTCTGCCCTTCTTCTTATTCAACTCAAGGTAAATGAACAAAGGAAAGCCAATTTTTTGGTAACTGAAATGCACTAAATATCCAGTAATTCTAAGGACTCTTGCATGTTTTGAATACTGTATTTACACTCTGACTCATTCTGTGGAATTTTTCTTGTATCTTCAGGGAGATGAGATGAAGCCGTGCAGTGTTCCTAGTCGAATCATTAAAGTGTTTGGTTATTCTATAACAGTTCTGGTCTCCATGATAATATTACAGAATTTATTCAAGGTACACCATGTATAAATAGCATAAGTTTACATGCAGTTTGTGAACTTGTGAATTTTTGAAGTACCTGATATATATTTATTATTCATTGCAATGAGCATTATTTTTATTTTATCTCATTCCAGTTAATACTTGGGATTGATGCAGATGATCATATCTACAAATTCATCATGTCTAAATTTAATGTAGGTCATGCAAGGTGAGAGGCAAAATATTAATGTAATAAATCATTTGTAAAATGTAATTTTAATCAAGTATACATGTACTATATCACCGAAAGAATACATTATAAATAGAATTCTATGGAACGATTAGATGGAAATTGTAATATATTATGGGGAAAAAATTCTCTCTGACTTATTTTTGTTGTTGAGATTTTTAGGCTCTGATTTTTAATGTACATGTACTTGCAAGCTTGATGTAGAAAGGGCAAATACATGTACTGTATCTTTAAACTTCCTAGCCCTCCCTCAGGGGGGTTTTAATAATAATGTTATTGAAAACGTATGGGATGTCTTGAAATTACATGTGCAAAGGAGAGCGAATGAGATAAATTTTCATGTGTTTTCAGGGATTTTGATGCCCTGTTGTACCTATGTAGATGCCTTTGGGTTCCTTCAGTTTGATATAATTTTTTTGTGTTTTCAGGGATTTTGATGTCCTGTTGTTCCTATGTATTGATACCTTTTGCCTCCTCCAGTTTGATATATTTTTGTTGTGTTTTCAGGGATTTTGATGCCCTCTTGTACCTATGTATTGATGCCTTTGGATTCCTTCAGTTTGACACATTTGAGAGACTCACACAAGGAGTTGTCTTCCCTTTATATGTTGTCACACATCTAGGAATGTTAATTATTTTATTTATAGCAGTTCTGCAGAACTGGAGGTAGGTACATGAGGGTCAATGTTTTTAAAAAAAAAAAAAAGTGGGGTAAATTGGTATATCATGTTTAAAAAACCTGCTGCATTGTTTTGTACAATTGCTAAGAATTTATACATTGTTCTCATATACCCAGATACGAACATAAACAATATACCAGTATTGACCATACATGTATATATTCAACATTAATTAATACATATTTAATTTCTCTAAAGCTAAAAATATATTTGTTCTAGCTTTTCTCACACTTTTTTGTTCCATGGACACATTGTTAACATGCATATATGGATTTTGTAGTAACCATGTACATGACACTAATGTCAAAGATCACACAAGTGCCAAAAAAACCCATCTTCTGAGCTGTCGTCCAGAATTAGCCTACCATGCAGGTAAAGACAAACATTTGTTATTGCTGACTTTTAACATCAAGTCAGTAAAAAGTAATCGTACATGTATCTTCATTAGCTCACTTTTGGTTAGGATGGTGCTTTAAGAATGACACTTTCATTGAAGATTTTACATGTTGACATTACTGGAAATGAAGAATTTACATGTAGATCTTGTTTATGACTTATATGTGTGTGTTACAGTATTAGCGGTGTTCTTTGGGATGCTGGGAATGTCTACGCTACGTATGAAGTACTTGTGGACTCCCTACATGTGTATCCTAGGGAGTGTGGGAATCAGTGACTATAAAGTCTGGAGGACACTACTGTCTCCCCTCAAAACACAGGGCATTATAGTAAGACTCTACTGCTGGCCTAGTATAATAATGATACTGATGAAATCACAAAATAATTGGATAAAATGTCAATGTATCTATCATAGTCATATCTTTCTGATCATTTTACAAATGTGTTTCAATTGATCTCATTTATATTACAGGTTCAAATAGTCAGGCACTTCATGACTCTGTTGACTTTAACAATTTTATTGGCAATAGTAAGTAAACATTGGTTTAACAAATTTTTTTCATGGAATTCTTAAAAAAAAAGTGATGAAAAGACACATAGATGTAATTGTTTTATTATTTTCTTTTGGACTTATTTAGTTCATGTTAAGAAATGTCATTTATATGATAATGTATCACTTAGGCGCTTTCACCTCTATTGAAAGAGTTAGAAGAATTAAAAGAGTTTTGGGATCCAGATACTGTTGAACTTATGGAGTGGATCAAGTAAGTATGAGGAGTAGAAAAAAAATCGGATCTTTTACGAGGGCAAATTAAAATAGGTGAAATTCAATAGCACAGTATATCTTCTTGAATAGAATCAAACTGAGGTTGGGGAAATTTAAAATCAGGTCAATTGTTTGCAAGTCTGACATGGCAAAAATAACGTAACAAAAATAACCCTGCATACAGCATTTCTATATGAGAAAATATAGAGTTATCTCTCTTGAACTGTAACAGGTCCAATGTGCCAAAAGGTGCCGCATTTACTGGCAGTATGCAGCTGTTAGCCGGGGTCAAGCTGTGTACAGGCCGACCAATCACAAACCATCCACATTACGAGGACAAATATCTCAGATTTAAAACCAAAGAGGTCAGTTGTTGTCACAAATTGGTAGCCAGAAAGTAAATATAATTATTTTGTTTCACTTATGAAAATGTTATTTCAATTAAAAATATATTCTCTTTACAGCTTTACCAGATATATGGGAGAAGAACACCTAAAGATGTCCATGACATTTTAAAGAAGTACAAATCAAGTTATATCATCTTAGAGGACAGTATTTGTTTAGCACCTTCTAAGGGGTGTCGGACACCTGATATTGTAGATATTGATAACGGAGTAGTAAGTCTTTTTTATAGTGTATCCAAGCTCTTGTTTCCATGAACATTGTAAGGTAATATTGAACAATGATAATATGGACTTTGGAAATACCAAGTTTCTTTTCAAATTCATTTACAATTCAATTTTACTACTTGATAAACTGTTTTAAATAATGGGAATGGTTTTTTCCTTTAATTGTAAAAAGTTGGCAAAATATAATTTGAGTACAGTTAGAAAAATTCTTTTGTATTTATCATAAATATTGTGGAGTTTCTGTTTAATTTTAGATCCCAGATCATGGTAAGGCAGAGCCAGGATTAGTCAAAAGCAACATTCCTAGATTCTGTGATGAAATACGATATGAATCTCCAGCATATACAAAATACTTCAAACTTGTGTTCAGTAATCGGACATTCCGTGTTCACAAAGTATTATGAAATCTAAAATATCATAATAATATTCAGCTAGTGACTGTTTAATTACCTCTTTTTTACCATCTCCCAAGTTTTTATGCCCTTGTACTCGATGATTTAGGGGTATATAGTTTATGGCCTGTCTGTCTGTCTGTCAGCAGAAACTTTTACCATTGCCATAATTCTTTGGATTTGTCAGTGTAGGGAGGTTCATTTTTTACATGTGTTTTCCTGACAAGACGCTTTTTGATCTCTTAATATTGACCTTGAAGTTTGACATTTCTTTGAATAAAATATTCTTGCCCTCACTTTTGCTTTGGCTTTCTTATATAATGTGTCTTCCTTGTGACAAGATATTTTTTGGGGTAGCAATATTTACATGTTTATGGCAGTGAGGCTCTTGATCTTGAAATTGACCTGCGGTACTTTTAAAAAAACAAAAGCTTTTGAATGACTGGTGCTAGGGCTTTCGTATTTCATATGCGTATTCCTTATGACAAGAACTTTCTTTTTTGAACCAATTTTTCAACCTCTTCACTGTGACTCGAGAGTTTGACTGGCATTTCAAAATTTTGTAGCTTGGGATTAACTGCCATACGGGAGCATCAGTGTTTTACAAACAGATCATGTTTTTCCTGAATTTAGATTGATTTATATTTTTTGGTCCCATGTATGTTTTGATATGCTTATTTCTGTGCTGTTGTTTTTTTTTTTTTAACTGTATACAGTGTACATCTTTTCTGACTTGCGTTATGGTTTTTTTTTCTTTTTCATAAAATCAGTGGCTTTTTGTAATGAAACTTGGTTTTTCTCATCATCATTAGAGGTGTAACAATACGGCAATACATCGATCATATTGATCACAAAGTATCACGATACGCATATAGTATTGCCATATATGTATTGTGATAAAGTTAAAGTTAATTTTCATTGTCTTATTTGAAAATCCTACATGCAAACTAAGAAATGTTAATGTTTCAGACTGATTGAGAACAAGGTAGCAACAAAAAATAATATAATGCTAAGACTATAAGTAACTGGTTAGGGGTCTCAAGATGTTTTTTTTATATTTTCTATGAATTTGGAGGTTAGCAAGCAAGAATATGAAAAAAGATCAGTTATTTTAATTGTTTACAGCTGTATCATGATACATTTGTATCACATGTCCATATCGTGATATGTATTGTATTGTTAGGTAGCATGTGATACTCGGGCCTTAACTCACCATATACATGAACATGTATTCTGATTTCATTGGATAGGAAAATTCATATCATATAACCTAAGTTTTCTACGTCACAGTGACATGTCAAAAATGTATCAATGTTCCAATCCGCTTGACGTATAACATTTAAAATGTTATTACACATAATTAAAAAAAAAATGAAATATGTATAGGAATGAATTTAATAGCTACTCAAGTGATACAAAAACTAAAAAAGGAGCTGCACAGTGGCATTGTATTTATAACAAAGATTCTTAAAAGTCTCATTAAATTCATTCAGTGGTAAAAGAGGAGTTGCAGATAAGAGATGGGTACCCCAAAGCATAACAGACGGACAGACATCCAGATCACTATATACATGTACCCTCCCGCTTTTCAAGTTGGGGGTATAATTACATAGGAAGTATTAAATTCATTCCTTGTAAAGATCCAAATATCCGAAGAATATTGAAATGAAATTTTTATCAAGTGTGGAGAAATGGTGTGTAAATAATAGTATAATTTCTGCATGTTTGGTATGAATGAATGTAAACTTAGGCATTAAAAAGGAAAATTTATAACATCTAGTCAAACTAAATGAAGTGAAAAAGCTTCAGAAATTCTTGCCATTTTTGTTTGCCAGCATAATTAATTGTATTAATGCACTATTATATGTAGAGTTGAACTGCTGTGTCTCAAACTTCAATAATTGAATTCCATTGATATATCAAAGCAAGATGGAAGTCCCAACCATTTTTTCTTCAATTTGTATCTTAGCATAGATATCTCAAATTGTTTATTTGAAAAAGGTCACAAAAATTAGCAGGGTTTAGTTGATCTGTTTTTGTAAATTAAATACTTTTTTGTTTTTTTCCCTTCTGTTTCATTTAAATGTACTAGTTATATTACATTTGCAAATATGATAGCTTACTTGAATTTGTTATTGTGATTTTGGGGATATTGTTTGGTTTTTTCCTTTACTTTACGTGGTTTTATTTTTCTTTTCTCTGATTTATATAAAATTTATTTGTTACAAACTTACAATAAAAAAAAGAACACACATTTACTTGAATTTTTGTTTTAAAATTGAAGGAAACAAAGACTCTTTAAAGAATTAAACCATGAATAGTATTGTTTAAAAAAATGGTTGATAAAATGGTCAGGAAAAAAATAAGGGAGTGTGCTTGCTGGTCTCTGTCACATTTAACTGGAAATGTACCGTTCCCAAAATTTTAGCTTGTTCACATGTCAAAAAAATCAGTCATATCCCACACTCTGCAAGATGGGAAGTAAGTTCTATGGTCGATAAAATGACCTTTTCTGTCGTCAACTTCCTTATGCAGCAATATACCTTCATCACCTGCGTATGGAGTTTATATATCTCAATTGACTCGATACGCAAGAGCATGCTCCACAAATGAACAATTTCTAAAACTAGGTAAACTATAGTCGAACAAGTTGATGAAAAAAGAATATCAGCGGTCTCGTTTAAAATGATCATTTCGTAAGTTCTATGGTCGATACAATGACCTTGTCAGCAAATACAATTTATCATTGAGTCAGATGCTGACTGACGTTTTTCATACTAATTGTTAACTCCGTTATTTATAAACAGAATTGACAGATTTTCCCGTTACTTCCCGATCATGTGTGTGACAGGTCAGCAGAGGATGCTCACTCCTCCATGGCACCTGATTCCACATCTGACGTTTTGGAGGACCGCGTTTGCTCTACACCCATTTTGTATTGTTTTTTGACTTTTGATCTGGAATACTGTTTGTTATCTCCATATGTTTCATCCACTTCCTATTGTCAATTTACAATACTGGAGTATTTTCATTCTTATGTCGACTTGATATATCCCAGTGAACGTGAAATTAAAAAAAAAAAATCTTCCCTTACTTATATGGTAATAAACCTTTATCGGCTGTGTTTGGATTTTTTGATCTCCAAGTTGATTCCATACGCAAGAGGATGTTTGTGCGTACGAATTTAAAAAACGTAGGTACAATTTCCAAAACGGAAAAGCTCTAACATGCAAGTTGATGGAACAAGAAAATCAACAGTTTTTAGTTGTTTCCATTTTAATGACACCTCTGAAGTTTTAGAGGTCCATTTCTCACTATTCTTTTAATTATTTCCATTTTTATTGATAAAATAGAAAGGAGACTATAATACTGAGTAGGAATAATGGAAAAGTTAAATTATAATATTTATCTACTAGATATAAATTATGGCCAGTGTAAGCAGAAATACTATTATAATTATTATTATAATACACCAGGAAAAGCTAGAATCAAAATTAAAATCCACATATAGCTATTTCATTTTCGAAGAATTTAAAAATATGATTATTGGTGAAAAGTACATGTACATGTAACTGTGTAATACTAGTGACGGTGTGAATACTGAGAGTGTGGGGATTAATTTCAAGTGGCCTGAATTCAAACTTATTAGATTAGTGCTTTAAAAAAGATATAAAAACGTTCTTTGAAGTACTTTTATAAATAAACATAAAAATATTTCAATGATGTGCAAACAACCAAATATTTAAAATTACATCAAAATGAGCTTATATATATATTTTTAAAAAGTTTCCTTATTGCTCAATTTGTTCATTTCCGATTACATTGTTGACATAAATTTAATTGCCATATTTCTTTGACTAGTATGCGATGATAAAATATCTGAACTAACATTGAACAGTTGTTAGGATACTGAATGATCATTAGCTCAATATTAGTACATGTATTACCCTAACAAGAATACTAAAGTAAACTATAGTTAACGATATCAAATCAAAGTTAAAGAGTTTTTACAATAGTAAATCAAATTTACAAAGTTTTATTTTTTTTATCTATCAAAGTTTCAAAATATTAACAAAAGTTTATCAATGTACGTATTAAAAAATCGTTATTTTCATCATTTTAAGGAGGTGGAGATGGGGTAAGGTGGGAGCTTTATGTGTTGTTCTTATTTCAAATTTACAAATTTTACATATTACAATATGCAATATTGACTTTTAAAAATAAAAAAAAAAATACATGAAGTTGATGGAACAGGAGCAGGCATTTTGGTTCAAAATAACGCAAGTTTTATTTCATAGCATACAATTTTACTAATTCTCCTTGAAAAACTTACACTACCTCTGCATTTAATACATTTAAATACATGTGATTTCTTTTGCATTTGTTTTTAAAGGGACAGGTTAAGTTCATAGAAAAAAATTCCAAAACTTTAAAAAATTTTGATGATGAAATATCACAAGATGTCAAGACTGGAAATCAAAAACATAATCAAGCAGGTTTTCTTACAGTAAGTCAAAGTATAAATTTTTGAATATATTAAATCAAAGTTTAAAAAATTTCACTATAGTAAGTCAAAGTTCCAACGTTTTTACTATAGAAAACCAAAGTTTCAAAGTTTTTACCATAGTAAAATCAAAGATCTAGAGTTTTTAATTCTATGCTTTAGTTAACTATAATTGTAACCTATACTCAGTATAGTTAGCTATGTTCACTATAGTATTTTTGTTAGGGTAAACTCATCAAAATATAATGATGTGAAAATGATAAGATTTGATCTTCTATGATGTTCTTTTACACTTTCATATACTTATACTCATAGTTACCTTTCTAAGGAAGAAATTCGTCAAAATCATATGTCAGTTTTGAATATTTTTAATATCCCAAAGAACCAATATGAATTTGAACTACCATATACATATATTGGATTCCGAAACTTCATACGAATCCTTACAATCAAAGATATATTATAATAGCGGGTTCCATTAAATATTCAACAAAGCCTCTTTCTTTACTCCTCACTAAGATATTAACAGTAGTGAAGGAGAAACTTCAATAGTACTGTGCAACAATATATTCAAGAAGAGGTGTGAATGAGATATGGATACATGTACTTAAAAATTCAAAGGAACTTTTGGACAATTTGAAATCACAAGATTTTACCAAATTCAACAGCTTACAAATTTACGACTTTTCAACTTTATACACAACCACTCCCTACGATAAATTAAAGTTCAGGCTTTTCGATATCATTGACAGCTGATTTTGCAATAAAAAGGGAACTCGTAAATTTACGTACATGTACGGTGTCACTGGTCATGTGCATAATTATTTTGCAGAAAAAAATCTGATTGTACACACAAGTACTCTGAAGTTGATATTAAAAAGATGCTTGAGTTTCTGATTGACAATATCTATGTTGTTTTTGGAGACCACATCTTCCAACAATCTATTGGAATTGAATTCCCATGGGTACCAATTGCGCCTATTATTAGCAGACCCATTTGTGTATTCATTGTGCAAAATCTTGTGCGCGAAAAAAACACTTGCTGTGGCATTCAACTCGACATTTACGTATATATCGACGACGTATTGTCAATTAACAAAGGTAATTTCCATTCCTATGTCGATACGGTATATCTTGGTGAGCTTGATATAAAAGATACCACAGAGTCTGACACATCTGTTTCATATTTGGATATTTTATTTGAAAAAGACGTTAATGACAATCTAACAACCAAGCTCTATGATAAACAAAGTGACTAACTTTTCTATCGTCAAATTCCCTTACTTATGCAGCAATATACCCGGGTACCTTCATCACCTGCATACGGAGTTTATATATCTCAATTGATTCGATACGCAAGAGTATGCTCTATGTATGAACAATTTCTAAAACATGTAAATTAAAGTCGAACAAGTTGATAAAAATTAAGAATATTAGCGGTCTCATTTAAAGTCATCATTTCGTAAGTTCTATGGTCGATACAATGACCTTGTCAGCAAAAATAATTTATCATTGAGTCAAATGCTGATTGACATTTTTCATACTAATTGTTAGTCCATTATTTACACACTGACTTAACGACGAATTTTTCCGTAATTTCCTAATCATGACAAGGAACACACGGCGGGTGTGACCGGTCGCCAGAGGATGCTCACTTCTCCATGATACCTTAACCCACATGTGATGTTTGGAAGTCCGTGTTTATTCTGCCCCTATTGAATACTGTTCGTTATCTCCATATGTTTCATTGATTTTAAGCAAATATTCTATATAAGAAGTAGGTATCTTTTAATGAGTTTTATTTTACATTATATCGTATTTTAAAATGATTTTTAACTCAAAATTTTATTGCACACAATCAAATAAAAAGTTTGAAGAAAATTTGAAGGCAAAAGTAAATTTACACGGACCGATCATTACAGTGTATATAAAATTTTACCGCTATTCTTTGATTATAAAACATTGTATAAAGCAGCTAATTGTGAAACATTTTTTAAAAGATCAGTGACGTGCACCTCTCATATCGGAAATACGTCAATTCACGGCGTTTCAAAGTGTTCTAATGGTATTAAATATCCATCAGATTCATTAGAGTTCACACTCTTCCCTTCCGTTTGCGATTTTGGCAGCTGTGCTCCTTCACTGCCAGCTTCATCAATCTGTTCTACAACCACTGGTATCGTGTATTGTCGATCCGTAACTTCCTGATACACAGCATTCCTTTCTTCAGTTTCGTACGCAGTCTCTTCTACATCACGTGGTACAATTGTCGTCTGGCTGCTCTTTTGAAGTCTCATCTTCTTCAGCAGGCATTTTATGATGTAAATAGCTGCGGCTATCACCACTATAGAGTTTATTCCAAACAAACCAATAAGTAAGGTTTTTGTTGATTCGTCTCTTCGTTCTTTGACAAGAGTAACGAATTGTCGAATTATCATTGTTGAAGTGGTTGTCTCTAAGAAACATATATAACTATTTGATTTATTTACCATTCATAATTTTCATATATGACTAAGTTCATATTAGGATATTTAGATTTTACCTTCGACGCTACAACCATTAATGAAGTGACATTTCATTTCTTCACAATCGCAGAGTTTTTGACAAGCATCTCCGTATGAAGGATAAGGACACTGCATTTCGCATTCCGATCCTAAGTATCCAATGTTACATTCTACAAAAGTTTGATC